AGAATCAGAGACCCCGGGTTCAGATCCCACCAAATCCAAGTGGCCTTAGACAGATCACTTCTGTGCCTTTGTTTCCTCCTCTGTGAAATGAGGGGGTTGATCTAGATGGTTTTTAAGAACCAGTCATTCCAGTTCTAAATCATTAATCCTGTGATCTTCATGTAAAGGGTACAGACGGCAGCCTACAGATACTGGATGCACACAGACAGTCTAGTGACTTAGGAATGGACATGAGGGGCTGAGTACATTTCTGGATGGGCAAGGAGTTGAGTAGCCCTGGATTTGTGTGCCTGGACAGAGTGAGGCCAGTGAGAAGCTGGCATCTCACCTCATCAGTCTCTTTTGCATGTTTTGTTTTCAGATGGAGAGCAGCTGCTAACTAATCATCCTCTCTCTAAAAAAAACCTCTCAGTTGTCACCTTGCAACCTCTCCTTTCACAAGCTGGGTAGTTCCTTTAGCCTTTCTTCATAGGTCTGCTCTGAGTCTTCTTGGAGTTTTCCACATTCCTCTCTAGTTCAGGAGCACAGAACCAGGCACTGCCTCTCACTGCTTCTGTGTAAACATGTAGCTCACATTGACTTAAGTGCTTGAGTTCCTGTTATCAGGTGCCACAAGGCCCTGCCTTAAGCATATTGAACTTTGGTTCTGAAGCCTGGTTTGCCTCTGTTGTATAGATAGATCAGCATATTTTAGTTCTTTGTAATTCAGCAACCCAAGATTAACTCCTGTGAGACTGTCTTTCTCTATAGGGTCGAAGTGGAAGAAGATGGGGGTGGGAGGGTGAACATCAGAGACATCCTTTTTATTCTGCTTGTGTTTTCCCATTGTTACTAACAGTAAAAAGTCTCAAAGAACTTCAAAAGTTCTGTGTGCTTGTTTGAGAGATGAGTACTGAAGAAGAAGCAGCAGTAAGACTGCTTTCTTTGGGGCAGGGAGCCAGGAAAGGAGGACAGTCCTGATCAGAAGCAACAGGTGGTGGCTGTGGCAAGAAGAACTGGCTGAGACTGACAGCTGTCACCTGGGGTGGACACTGACAACAGGCCATTGTACCATGAAGCTTCTTACCCCACGAGTTCATGGAGATCTTGGACTCAGCCTCTCACAGCCATTCAGTCCCTGGACATTGGTGCCTTCAGCCAGGGAGAGACATTGAGATTCTCTGGCAGCCCCAACTTGGAGCTACAAGTACATTCTCCCATACAAGTACTGTTACATGGGATAGCTGGGATCCATGATAACGTTAGTAAGGATTGTACTTCAGTTACTATGTGATAAATTGATTTCCTTCCTTTCTTCTTTCCTTCTTTCCTTCCCCTGGTCTGAGAACCTGATCTCATGTATGACAGTGCTTCTGTAAGAAAGCATGTTCCAGATTCCCAACAAACTGACTTAAAAATCAGCTTGAAACATCATAAGATGATAGTGTAAGTTGAGGGTTATTTAAGTCGTGTTGTTCTTAAAAAGCTTTTGGTTGTGTTGTTGGTTCATAGGCATCTTACTCTCTATCCATCATGACCCCAGGATCACTTTCTCTCATTCTTGTTTATAATCAGCCAGCCCACCCAGGTGGCAGTGTGGAATAGCGGGAATAGCACTGGCTTTAAAGACAGAGGATCTGGGTTTATATCTTGCCTCTAATCTTTACTCCCCTTGTTACTTTGGGAAAGTCACTTAGCTCCTGCAGTTTGCTCCTTTGCAAAATGAAGGAATGAGATTAGGTGATCTCTGAGGTCCCTTTGGGCTGTTGATCTGTAATTCCCCATCTTGCATGTATATAATTTGTTTTTTCTTAACCCAGGTAAGTCTCCCTAAATTTTCCTTATGGAAATGTATTTATGGTTGTTATTTCTGACCATTTTCCAATGATTAGTGCTATTCCCACTGTACCACTTTATAAAAAAATAGTATTTTTTCCCCCAATTACATGTCAATTTTTAGCATTCATTTTTACAAGATTTTAAGTTCCAAATTTTTCTCCTTCCCATCCTCCTCCCTCCCCTCTTCTGAAAATAGTAGGTAATTTGATGTAGACTATATGTGTGCTGTCATGTACTTATTTCTGTATTAGTCACAATTATGAAAGGAGAACCACTGTACCACTTTCTAACCCTCCATCGCCAGGTCTGAGCCATTGCATCTCACCTAGATTCTTGTCATCTGCAAATGCAAAGAATCAATCAAGTAAGCAGACAGGCATTTAGTAAGCACCTACCATGTGCTAAATGCTATAGTTATAAGGATGAAGAGTGAGAAAACCCTGCCCTCAGGGAGCTTACATTCTGCAAGGGGTGACAGCAAGTCCATAGATAATCATAAATTGAAAGTGAACACGCGTAAATATGTACAAAGTAGTTAAATACAAGGTAGTTTGGGAGGGAGATCATTACCAGTTGGGGAGGACCAGGAAAGAAGGTGGTATTTGAGTTGTCTGTCTCTCTCCCTGTCATTTATTGCTTATTCATCTCTGTCTACCTATCATCTCTATCATCTGTCTACATGTCACTTGTCCATTTGTCTGTCTGTCTATCTACATACCTATCATCCATCTTTATCGTTTGTCACAAGCCATCTCCGTCTGCCTATCATTTATCTCTATGTCACTAATCCATTTCTGTAGGTATCTGTTAGTCACCGAGATGATACTTATACCCATGGGAACTGATATGGTTACCAGGAGAGAACGTAGAAGAAGAGAAGAGAGTTTGGGAGGAGACCAGGGGTCATCCACACTTAGGCAGTGTGCTGTGGATGATGACCCAGTGAAAGAGGCGTTAGACAGGCAGGTGGAGAACAAGGAGACAGCAGGGTCAGAAAATCCAGAGTGAAGAGAGTTTGCAGGAGGGGAGGGTGGTCCCCAGTGTCCATTATAGCAGATAGACAAAGAAGGCTGAGGAAAAGGGCTTGAGGAAAGACTACCAGATATGGCAAATAAGAGATTGTCGATAACTTGGGCGAGAGTGATGTGGTTGGGAATCAGATTGCAGCGGGTCGAGGAGTGAGTGAGAGGAGAGGAAGTGAAGGCAGCAAGTGTAGATAGTCTTTTCTGGGAGTTTAGCTGAGAAAGGAAAGAGTGAATTAGCAACTGTTCCCCATCTGAAAACAAAACATGCAGAAGAGACTGATGAGGTGAGATGCCAGCTTCTCAATGGCCTCACTTTGTCCAGGCATGTAAATCCAGGGCTACTTACCTCCCGTGGGAGAGAATGGATGGGTTTAGTAGGTTTTTCTAGGGATGGGAGACACTGGGCATGTTTAAAAGGTTGTAGGGAAGGAACCATAGAGAAGGAGAAGTTGAGGATTCATGAGAAAAGGGGGTTAAATTCAAGATGCAGTCTACTGTAGAAAATAGGGGATGGGATCGAATGCATATTCAGAGGGTGACTACCTTCTTGTTAGAGACCACAAAAGGAGGAGAAAATAAGAGATGATGTTGGGGTGGGGGGGTTGAGATGAAGAGAATGGAAGAAGAGTGAATTTACTTTGAAAGGCCTCAATTTTTTCTGTAAAGTAATATGATAATAAAATATGCCATATTAAATAAAGAATATACTTTTCTATTTCATTATTCCCATACAAATATTAAACCAGAGTCAGGACCACATCTTTAGGATGCTGTTTGTTAGGTCTGCCTTCAGATTCATACTTTTTTTTTTTGATAGCTTATTGCATAACCAGGTTATGCCTCCACCCCATCCATGGTCATGGGCTCCTGGTCATATTTGTCTAGCTTGACTTGTATGGCAGTGTTGGAATCCTTGCCAAAGTCAAGATCAGTCTATCTTTCTTGTTACTCCACCAGCTCTGCCCTTTATCATGGGAGGTTAGTTATTCAGGCAAGATTTTTTTTAACAGTATTATATCCTAAAGGTATCTCTGAATTGATTTTATAAGTATTTTTCCCAACATTATTGCAGGTAAAGAAGCTAAGCTCACAAACCCACAGTTTTTAGTTTCTCCTTATTTTAGGAGCTTGGGAGAGTGTTATGCAGAAAACACATACTTTTTACTTTTTTACCCTCCTCAGAATATCTCAGGGGCAGCTAGGTGGCCCGGTGGACAGTGTGCCTGGGCTTGGAGGCAGGAAGACTTATCTTCCTGAGTTCAGATCCAGCCTTAGACTCTTATTAGCAGTACGATCCGGGGCAAGTCATTTAGCCCTGTTTGCCCCAATTTCCTCATTTGTAAAGTGAGCTGAAGGAGGATAGGGCAAACCACTTCAGAATCTTCCCAGCAAGCCCCAAATGGGGTCATGAAGTGTCTGACATGACTGAAAAACCACTGAACAGTATCTTTTCTGGAAGAAATGAAAAGCCTGTGACTTAGTCAGCTGTTCCCCTTTGATTTAAATAAATAATAATTAAGTGCAGAAATTTCTTAGTGGCTCAACTGTGGAGATACTGAGAAATCTTTTAGAAATAATTTTAATTCTTTTGCAGAAACTTTCCAACCCGGGCCAATATCGAAAAGAAGAAATTGTTACAAGAGGAGAAAGAGCGGAGAGGAGAAGTGTTGACAACGACCCAGTTTGGGTAAGTTTTCTTCTTGTGAGTAGAGTCGTTCAGGCCCTTTTGACTTCCTTATATTCTCTTAATGCTTATTTTAACAGAAAGTATTTATAAACAATAAGTGTAACATTCCCCAGTGCCAAGAGCTCTCTAGTCCTTGCTCTTAGAACTTTCCTTACTGACTCAAAAATGGTTATGTCTTTGTTCTTGGCAAGAATAGCTGATTGATTTGGATGCCAGGAGGTTCCTGGGGCTTCCTTAATTTAAAAAAGTTAGTGTTTATCAGGTGGAGGAACCATACCAGGTAAGTCAGGGAAGTGCCCTGTTTGCTGAAACAAGTGGTATTGTACACCTACCTTTGCCATTCAATTTGTTATAACTTATTTCCTGAAACTACTGAGACCTTATCCTTAGTTTACTTAAAAAAAAAAAGTTTTTCCACTGGCATAACCAGTTCAGGTAAATGCAAGTAATCTCTGCTTATTCAGTGCACCCAGTCTACCTTATTTGGTCATTGGCAAAAAACACAAGGATTATGAAACGTGAACATAGGTTGTAGGATTTTAAGTGATTTTTAAATTTGGCCTAGACCTGTGCCTTCATTAGCATGGGAAGCATCTGGTGTGGAAATTCCCTACACTAATGCCGATCAGCAACTCCTTTGTAACTTAGAGTTCTTGAGAGCTGCTTAGGCTCCGATAGTCAGTGGTCACACAGGCACTGAACTTGAACTCTGCTCTTCCTGAATCCAAAGCCTGCTGTCTGTTCACTGCTATGCTGCTTTTCATAAAGCGAAGTGTGGTCATTGTACCAGGCACTTTAAGATGTGCAAAAGGCTTTACATCGACTGTCACAACGACCCTGTGGAATGGGTACTCTACCGCATATATGATTCCCATTTTACAGATGAAGACAATGAAGCCTAGCGAGGGTAGGTGACTTCCCTGTTGTTAGATAGCTAAAGTGTTGAGGATTTGAATTCATGCCATCTTGCCTCCAGGTTCAGCCCTATCCACTATGCTAGGCCGAATATTTCTGTACGTAGTCTAAATATCACAGATCTAAAATTGGAAGTGACTTTTGTGGGGAGGCGGGAGATCTAGTTCAGCCTCTTCGTCTTACAGGGAGGTCTTGCTTAAGTGACAGGCAGCTGGGGGTGCAGTGGATGAAGCACTGCGCCTGGAGTCAGGAGGATCTGAGTTCTAACATGGCCTCAAGCGCTTAACTAGCTTAACCTCTTCCTGCCTCAGATTCCTCATCTGTAAAATGGGGATAATAAGAGTAACTGCCGCCCAGGGTTGTGAGGATCAAATGAGATAATATTCCTAAAACACTTCACAGATTTTTCAAGTGCTGTGTAAGTACTGGCTACTTTTAGGGGTAGTAGTAGTGCTCAGGGTCTTAGAGGTAGTAAGGATCAGAGGTAGGAATGAACCCCAAGTCCTCTGACTTCAAGTCCAGCCCCTTTCACCTGTGTTAACTGTAGCAAGTCATTTAGAAAATTCCTCGGATTCAGTTTCCTCTACTGTAAAATGTTCAAAATATTGAGTTTCAAAGTATGGCTTTAAAAGCAAGACATAATGATGATAGATGGGCTTGTGTGTGTAGTGACAGGTTTTTAGTCTTGGTGCCTACTGTGACAATTTTAGACATACAGAATCATATTTTTATGTCATGGCAGCACCGTAAATTCAGCCTGCCATTTTCACCTGATTTGAGTTTTTGCTTACTGGGTTAGGGACGAAAAAATGAAGATTCTGTGGTTGGAGAATTTAGCAATTTATTTTATTTACTTAGCAATTTATTTATGGATGAATAGGGCAGGATAAAATTCATCTTGTGCATTTGTAGCTCTAATTGTGAATTGCTTGTGATATTTAAAGAAGATTTAGATTTTAAGAAATTGAGTATGAATCATATGTACATTGAAGATCGAGTCTAGAAAGAAACCAGCAATGCATTTGAACTCTTTTTTATAAGACTTTTTGGTATTTACCCCTGCCTCTGTCCCATTTGTTCTCTGTAAGCTGCTCTTAGTTTTTACTATTACATTTTACAGTACAATTTACAGTAATTACATTACTATGTAATGAGATTAATTGCCTAAGTCACCCTTGAACACCAACCTCCCTCTTTTATGGTCATCCCTAAAAATGTAGCTTCTTTTCTTTGATTCTCTAGTACTTTCATAAGTATCTGAAAGGTATTGGTTACAGGAAGCCGGTCCTTTTGAAGCAGTCGTCTGCAGAGATTTAATTTATTTGCTCCCTTACAGTGGGATGAGGAAAAGGTGACCTGATGATCATCAGCTCTTTCCTTGCCCCCAAAAAGCTGCTTCAGGGTGGGATAATTGGCTGAACCATTGCCAGAGCTGCTATCAGGAGTACCCTGGGCCGTTCCCCAGAAGTATAGTTACAGGGAGTGGTCAGTTGGCTGGCAAGGTGGATAGTCTCTTTAAAAGAATGTGTGACAGACTTGAAAAAGCACAGAGTTTGCAGTCAGAGGGTCTGAGTTTGAATCTACTGCTTACAACCAATCCACACTCAGACTGTGGCTTCAGGTTTTTCCCTCTGTAAAATAAAGAGATTAGACTGATTCACCATTCCATGCTAAATCTGTGATTCTGTGGTCCTCATTTCCTCTTCTATATATTTTGTTTTAGAAGGTCACTTTTGATAGCTGCATGGACATTAAAGAAGCAAATTCAAGCAGTTAGACTTTTATTAGCAAATACTTTAATTCTCATTTAGCATCTTATGGGTTGGTGGACAGTCTGCTGAGAGCAAGAATAGGAAAGTGATGTGGATTGGGATGAGGCCGTTTCAGGAGCTTGAAGATGGGAGGGTACTGGAGACAAGTGCATTCTTGCACAATTTACTGGTCAGTCAGTCAATACACCTTTATGAAGTGCCCACTAAATGTCAGGCACCATGCTAAGCACTGAGGATACAAAAAAAGATAAAAGACAGTCCCTGCCGTCAAGGAACTCACAATCTATTGGGGAAGATAATACATTAAAAAAAAAAGAAGCAGAAAGGGTAGGGGAGAGTAGGCTGTCCCGGGCTGGAGCAGCAGGTGGGAAATGATGAGTTCTCTGCTGTGGGCCCTGTCCTTAAATGGAGGATCTGGGCAGAACTCTCTGATGTCATGTCTCCAGTTGGGGAGGGACAGGTCCAGGGCAGGTGGTACTGAGGAGGTGTGAGTTTCTGAGTTGATGTGATCTAGGTAGGCCTAGACTTCGTCATGTGGCTCACAATCACCCATGCATCACACGTGGAATCTTTACGTGAGGTTCTCGTCCCCCTGAGTTAGATCTGCTGGGTGTGGAATGGGTTTGGAGATTGTCCCTGATTGTACCTTGAGATGCACCTGGCCCGTTCTGAGTCCTCTCTGAAGATTTTGAAATTTGGTCGGGTTGGGAAGAAGGCGATCGCAGCTTTGGCCTCGCCTGGTGATGACACGTTCCACACTAGCTGTGTAAGATCAAGACCACCCTGCACTTGTGTTGCCGTCTGGGGTACTGGGTGACCCGAGGGTGAATTAAACCAGACTCTGGAGGTGGGATGAGCCCAGACAAGCCTCAGCGGACTGAACCTGCTGGGTTGGAGCCTACAGTGATGACCACCCCAACCATTTAGTTGTCTTCATCCCGGAGGAACTCAAGGTTGGTATAAAGAGCCTCAAGGTGCAGGTCAGTGAATGTAGGAGGAGACCATCTCCAGGGCTCTCATTGTGGTGCAGCAGGGCATGATGCGCTGAACAAGGCCATTCCTGGGTGATGTGCCTCCTGAGTAGATCCTTACTCAGTTTGTGTAGCTGGAGTGGCTCATCCTTTACCAGGGAACACGAGCTGGTTCCTGGGCCTGAGGTTGTGCCAGGAGCAGATGTGACTGAGCACGAGGCGCAGGGTAAGCGTCAGGTAGCCAGCATTCAGGCACGAGTTCCAGGGACAGGTGGGGAAGATTATAATCCTCAGGGAAACTACAGGCCTCACTGATGGACAAACCTCGGCCGTTTTTAGCATGTGAGGCAGATAGATCCAGCTGGGAATAGGGCCTGTCTCCTACCCTGCTTGTTTGCAGGTACCTTCTCCCAGGGAAGAGAGCATGTATTTGTATTTCTCTGGCAGTGCTTTGCCTCTCACTCCACAGGATTGTGACAGTATGGAGGCAGGGAAATACCGTAGGATCTTTTTGTGACTCTTTGTGAGGTTCATAAAAGGAAGGCTTGTTATCATGGCATCAGATACTAGTTAGTATTAATAAGGAGAACTTCCTCATTGGATACAGTTACAAAATTGCACAGGTGTCCCTATGTCTTATGGCAGACACATGTCATTTTTTCATCATAGAAAATGCATGTAGTGCATCTTATTTAAAAAAAAAAACAAGCAGATTTTGGGTTGTAATACTTTGTGACTTTATATTGTTTATAAGTTCTTTGTCGGTTGGTTCTATTTGCTTGTTTCAGTAAACTAGATAGGTTTTGCTCCTAAGGGGAGTCCATAGCAAGAGCTGTTGTTTTTACTAGACTCTGAAATCTGTAAGGACAGGGAATATTGTGTCATATCTAAACCTCCTAGCTCCTGGCCCAGCCTATGCCTCATCTAGTAAGTACTTCGTGTTTGGTGCACTGAATTTCCCTGATCTGTCTGTTGACATCTGCTCGAAAAACATCTACTTTAAAATAACTCAGCATTGCAAGGTTGGCAACGACCTCTCCATTTTTTCTGCCTTTTCCTATTTTTAACAAAATTTTTGAGTGTTTTGTTTTGTTTCCAACTCTTCTTATTTTCTTGAGAAGATTAATGTCCCTTTAATAAATTAAATTCTGTGCAGAGTGTTGTGCTGAAGAGAGAAAGTTTATGTAAGACAAGGTCCGTCCCTGCCTTCAGGGGGGTTTACGTTTTTGTGGAGAGGGCATCAGATGCCGCATGGGCCCGATGCTCAGGATTACATTTCCACCCGAGAAATGTATTCTAGACAGTTAAAAACAAAATCCTTGCTGTTAAGAAGTTTTGTATTTCTTATCTACAGAAAGATGCAGAGGAAGTGGAAACAGTCCCCAAACGAAGCAAGTGGGAAGCAGCGGCATGGGAAGCACCGCAAGTGGCAGAAATGGCAGAAGTGGCAGAAGTGGCACGGCGGCCGGAAGACGCCAGGGGCGGGTGAAGATGCGGCCAAAGGCGCGCCCCCTGCTGGCCCTCCTCCGGGCGATTCCCAAGCGGAATTGCCGCGTGCAGCCCAGGCGGAGGTCTGTCAGAAGGACGTGGATCCTCTGAGCGTGCTGGCCGACAGCGAGGCCGGTGAGGTCCCAGGGGAGATGCGGGATGATGCCAGGGCCGTCTCCACCCTTCCACCCCCTTGTCCAGATGTTTAGGGCTCTTGCTTCACCTGGAGTCCATCACCCTCCTCTGTGTCCGGAGGTGCGGCAGATCCTCTGGAATTGGTCCTTGGTCATTGTGTAAAGAGTTACCCGCATTGGTTTTCCCCACACTTCATTTGTCGTCAGACCACATTTACCGGGAATCTCTGAAATGGTCTCTTTTGTCAATTCTTACGGAGTAATAGCATTCCATTCCATTAACCTGCTACAGCTGGTTCAACCTTTCCCCTACTTAGCTGCAGGGGGCAAAATTAGGGTCTATGGGATGGAAGTTAGAGGGAGGGCACATTTCAGACTCAGCATTAGGAAGAGCTTCCTAGCAAGTGGAACTGTCTCCAGAAAGGAACTGAGCTTCCTTGTGAAGCAGAGTTCTCTGTCTCTGTAGGTTTGACTGCAGGTCAGCGAACTGAGGCTGCACAGTCATTTGTAGAGCCTGTTGGAGAACGAATTCAGTGCGTCGGTCGGGGTGGAGCTGAACAGCTTCTAAGGTTCTTTCCAACTCTGAAGTTCTGTGACCTGATCCGTATTGTTTGATTCTCTGCAGTATGGACATATCGAGGAGCGGAGGAGAGACACAAACCCTTCTCGGGAGTGTGTAGGCAGAGGAAAAGGGGATCCTTACCTTGCCAAAATTTAATACTCCCCCAAAGGCTTTCTGTTCTTGACTTTTCATCATTCTGATTCTTTCTACCCCTTGGTGTAGGGGGAAGAGAGACGGTAATGTAATTCCATTTTATGGTATTGTTTAGTGTTCAAATTACCATTGATGGCAGCAGTGGCAGGCTCATTCCGTCCACCATCAGACCAGAGTAGAGTTAAGTCACTTGGGATGAAAATTTCCTAACACTCTTGCCCATCCCAGTTTGTTTTCTAATTGGCCTGACTGAGAACTTTACTCAGACCCCAAGAAAGACATTGATCCCCACACCTTGGACCAGCATACAGATACTTTAAAGAATTTACTGCACTGGGATCAGAGCCTGACGAAACTTCTTTGCTAATGGAGTGCTTAGCATTTTTCATTGTGGTATGTGATGTCTTTGGCCAGATCTCACTCTAGTGTATTTCTTTATTTCCACTCGTGCACATTCACATTTTAGTATCATGACAGCTTGAAAGGCGATAAAGAAAGCTCTGAACAGATGATCTCCATTTGGGCAGGATGGGGAAACCTCTGGAAACTCCTCTGAACTGAGTGTGGACTCTGCTCCCTAGATGCGTGAAGGGTCAGAGGGATGGGTGGGGCATAGGAGGGTTTGCTGGCAAGCCAAGCCTTCACCCAGCTCATATGCAGTGCCGAGAGTATGCTCTCTCGGTGTAGTCTTCTGCCACTTTGAACCTTTCCATAGAATCCTGAGGGATGCTTTTTAAACCAGTGCTGTCAAAATTCAAATAGAAAGGCAGCATGCTGACTTAGAAAACCACAAGTTAACATCATCTATGTCACGTTGTATATTTATCTTGTCAAACATTTCCCAATTATATTTTCATCATGTCCAGCCACCCTCTGGATTTTTGCTGTCCTCAAGTTGGGCACCTTTGTTCTAGACCCTTAGTGATGCAAAGATGAGTCTTGAACTGAGGCCGGGAACCATTGCACTCTGTTGCCCTTTTCTCTCCGCCCTTTGTTTTTCCTTGAAAGCTAGTTAGCTGCTAGCTCCGAAGTACACTGGTTGAGCCGAGACCTAGACTAGACCATATTCCACAAAAATCCTGCTTCATTTCAATGTAGAAATGATTCCTGAGATCTCAAAGGCTGCTGCAGAGGAGCATAAGCTCTGGCAACTCTACCCAACTTAATAGGCTCTGGGTCCGAGCCCAGCAGTACACTGTGTCTGTGTTCTGAGACCCAGCCCAGCCAAGTTCAGAGAGGGTCATCGCCAGGAGTCTGGCAGTCACTCACGTGATGGAGTTTCCTTAGCCACCGAGACAAGAAAGGCTTGCAATCTTCACTGGTGGAGATAATGCTCACACTGATGATACTGGAGTATCCTTTGAAGTAAGAACTAAACCACATTTGGGGTTGTTGTTGTTATTTTATCATCATCTTCCCACCTAAGTACTGTTGATTTTAGGCATGTCATATATCACATCGTAACTATTTAAGATTGTGAAAAAAAGTGCTATTTCAAATGAAAAGCCCTTTGGAATACCAAATTGTGTTAAATTCTTGTGATATGCATTTCCCAGACTTGTCATTTGGGGAATGCCATTTGCCATCTTTTGATCTCCTTCATAGAGTTGTATTTTTATATTCCTAGTGGTATGGTCAGATTGATGGCTTACAATTACTCAGTTTAGTTTCTTTCTGACTTTCTGTCTGTCTGTCTCTCTTTCTCTCCCTCCCTCTCTCCCTCCCTCCCTTCCTCCCTCCCTTCCTTCCTCCCTCCCTCCCTCCCTCCCTTCCTTCCTTCCTCCCTCCCTTCCTCTCTTCCCTTTTTAGCTAGTCATAGTCCCGTTAGATCACTTCAGGAAGATTATTAGTCTCCGGTCTGAGGCAGAAGAAAAGCAGCTGCTCAGTAATGTTGAACTGAGCCTCCACAGACCGTAGACCCATCTCCATGTTAGTCATTGTGACAGAACATGAGGAGAGTTGCTGTGCTGGCTGTCCGCGGTGCCTGGAATGCTCTCCCTCTTCAGCTCCTAACTCCTTGCTTCCCTGGGTTCCTTCAAGACTCGGCGTAAATCCTGCCTTTCGCCAGAGGCCTTCCCGTTGACCTCCTCTGGCAGACAGTATCTTCTCCCTGAGATTGCCTTTCATTTCCATTGTCTGGATCTTCTTTGGACATGGTTGTTTTGATGCCGTCACCTCCATTCGATTGTGACCTCCTTGGAGGCAGGGACCATTTTCTTTTTTTTTTTTGTATTTCCAGTGCTTGACACAATGTCTTGCACCTAGTTAAGCTTGCTAAATTTGCTTGTCAACTGACTGACTTAGCTAGGTTTGAATCTCATCTCAGATACTTACTGGCTAGTGATTGAACACAGTCACTTAGCCAGCCTTTGTGGACCTCAGTTTTCTCATCAGAAAAATAAGCAGATTGGGTCATGTTTCCTATTTTTAAAGTTTTTTCTTAGAAAACCTATCTTTTTAGGTTTTTTTCATCATTTTCTTTATCTGCTCTTGGAGGCCTTGTGGCTGAGCCATTCTTTTTTTTTTTTTTTATCCCCTGCCCTGGGCTTCTACTTGTACTTACTGTGAAGTTGTCCCTTCTCCTGGACCTCTTGGGCTCCTCTCTATCTATAGTATTTCTTCATTGTATGAAGAGGTTTTGTTATTCCTGTTTGCTCCTGTCTCCAGCCTCAGTTTCTGGATTGAGACTTTTTGCCAGGTCAAGGTTTTGCGCCTACTTGCTAGCATTCCTGGATGGGGTGGCTAAACGCCAGTCTTGTCCACTGTCTTGGATTGGTGAGCCAGCCAGTGCTTAGATCAGGCTCTGCACTCTGCCTCCATCCCTGGCTTCTGCCTCCATTTCCTGGTAACCCAGTTTGCATGCAGCCATTGACCCTCACAGACTCCATTGGTACAACATAGAATATGCTGGCTTCTGGCTTCCTGGAGTCCCCTAAGAATCTCTGCCTCGCTTCAGTCTCTGTTCCTCTGGTTGCAGCCATCACATACCTGAGATTGGTCTGGCTTCAGGCCCTGCTGGCAAGGCTCCCTCAGAGTGCCCTAAGCCTTCTGGTTGTCTTTTTGTGCAGTCCTGGCCTAGATGGAGGAACTCATTGGTGTTTTCTGTTGTTTTTATTGATTATTTTTTCCTCTGATGACCTTTGCTGTCTTTGCTGGGAAATTTCTTTGGGAAGCTGGGCTTGACTTGTCACCTTTTACATCACCATCTTGACTACTTCATTTAGCTTTCCCTACTGCTGTCTTCTCTCTACACCCTCTCCCCAAAGCCGGTGTTCGTTCTCTCTTTCTCTTTCTCTCTCCCTCCCTCTCTCTCTCTCTTTCTCTCTTTTTCTGTCACTCCCTCTCTCCTCCCTCTCTCAGATAACATAGCACTGGCACTTCTACTGTATTATTTATTTATGTGGCGTATCTCTAGTAGATTGTAACCTCCCAAGAGGCGGAGATGGTGTCTTATTTTTTTGCACCCCCGCAGCACCCTGTGCATATATAGTAGGTGATTAATACTTAGATGTTGGATGACTGACTAACTGAAAGTATTTCTGAGTTACCTTCTGGAAATAACTTCCAAGGTAGCTGTAGTTACCTCATAGAACTCAATCATAAATAGGAAAAGAGAAACAGTTTTTAAATCTAGCAGAAAGGATAGGAGGAAATTTTTGCTATCAATATTCAAAAATAGAAACTGAGTTTAAAAACAGTTATATTTAGTGATGTGTTCTCAGTTGAGATAAAATTAGATAATATTTGTAAGAAGCATCTAGCATAGTGTCGAGCACATAGTAGGTGCTGTGTAAGTGCTTATTCCCTTCCTCCTGGCCTCCATCTGCTTCAGTTATGGTGTTGTGTGTCACAGAAGTGAGAGTACAATTGGGTATGGTATTTGAGTGCATGTGTTCACCTCTTTTTTTTTTTTTTTGGTGAGGCAGTTGAGGTTAAGTGACTTGCCCAGAGTCACACAGCTAGTGAGTGTTATGTGTCTGAGGCCGGATTCGAACTCAGGCCCTCCTGACTCCAAGGCTGGTGCTCTATCCACTGCACCACCTAACTGCCCCTGTATATTTACTTTTTTGCCCCACATAGGGTTTTAAAAATCAAGGTTTGGAGCTAGCAAGAGGATAAACTAACTGCCCTGATATTTTTGCAGCCATCATTTCTATAATTTTACTTTCTCACCTAGTATTTTTAAAATGAGATTTAGGGTGTTGTTTTGTGTTGATTAAAAAATGAGTGAAGATTGCTTTGCATTTTTAAAATGTTCTTAAACTTGTCCTGCGAGATACTTATGGATAGAAACTTGAGCCATCCAATTTGATTCTTCTTAGGCCTTTGCCGCCTTAGAGTTTAGCGTGGGATATACAAGGGAACCAAAAAACAGTTTATATCTTCCGGTCCTTACCTTGATAACTGGCATAGGGAAAGCAATTTTGACCCTGGCTTAGGAATCTAAGCCAGAAACCTCTTGTGTGAGGGATGTACCTGGTCTCTGCTGTGGCTAGGCTCCCTGTTGACTCTGCTGGAAATGCCTGTTGGTGGGGATTCTTCATAGAACGACTGTGGCTGTGAGAAGAAGGAATCCTTTTTGGAAGGGATATTTTAAACAGTGCTGAAAGGGAGCTGATATTTTTCAAGATGTTTCCTGTGACTGGGCATCTTCATTACTACTGTTTATGCTGGGAGTTTTAACCTCTTTTGGGTTGTGGACTCCTTTGGCAGTCAGTCTGGTGAAGCCTATGGGACCCCCTTGTCAGAGCGGTGTTTTAAAATGCATAAAGTAAAATATATAGGATTACAAAAGAAACCAATTATATTGGCATAAGATTATCAGAATATTAAAAAGCAAAACACAAGTGGATGGACTATTGGTTATAATTTTCAAATATAGGAATAGGGACTAGTCTATAAATTCATTGATATTGGGAGCTCCCAGGTGAGAAAACTCATTTTCTGTTAACTTGTTGTCTTTGAATGACTTTCCCAGAATCACACAGCCTGTAGGCATCAGACACAGGACTTTTGAACCCAGGTCTACCTAGGGCCAGAGGCCAGCTCTTTATCGACTATGCCATGACTGTTTCCCTTTAAAAATACACTTTTAAAATGAAACAGACTCTCTGTAATGGGGGGGGGGGAAGAGTGTTACCTGTGGTGCACCTCCTGACAAGTGTAAATGAAGTGGCCGAGAGGATGGAGAAGTTAAAACAGTGTCAATATGTTGTGGGGGGAGCCCCCTCCCCCCAACACTGTCTTGTATTAGAATGATAGTTCTTCAAGTTGGCCTTTCTTTGTCTCTCTCCCATCCGGGATCTCAGTTGTGCTCGTGATTATTTTCCCTGAAATCATCTACATAAATATAGCCATGGAATCTCCTTAATGTTCCAAACTGCAGATTCTTCTTTTCACTTCTCTTCAGCCAATTAAGAGAGCAAATTTATATTTAGCATAAATACTGGAGGAGACAGTTGTACATGACAAAGACTTCTGCGTTTTTTCATCCAGGAGAGGGCAGTGATTACCATGCATGTCATGGAATCCTTCTATTCCTTGATGTATTGGGGTTTTCCCATTAGCTACTCCCTCTTGAAGCATGTGTGGCATTTCTTGTGAATTGGCACCATCTTAGACAAATGAGTGATCATGCTTAAGCCTTTCGTCAGCCTTCATTTTTTTTTGTGGTTGTCCTAAACAAATGTAATAGTATGTTTTTAGGGCAGTCAAGTAACATAGGCATTGTTGACCCAGGCCACCATGAAGGCCTGCTGCTTGACCTGATACAGGTGCTTCACCTTTTGAAGTAGGCTTTAATGTTAACTGAATTCCCATATTTGGTTCTTTCCGCCTGAAATAGTTTTGCTTTTTTGCTTAGAGTCTTTAGAAGTTCAGAATATGGAAAGCTCTGAATGTCTTCGTTTCAGCATAATTCCTTGGCTAGGATTCTACTCTGTAGCATTGTTTAAATATTATAGTTTCTTCTAAACAAATCTTTTTATTTTAAAATGGAAATACTTCTGCATACTTGATTGGAATTGTGGTTTTGTTTTTGTTTGGGGGCTTGGGGGAAGACCTGTGCTGATAAGATTAAACACATTTCTTGTATCATTTGTATGACTTATAATTAATAGCAAAGCCTATAATTACGTCTATTTGGAGAAGACAGAACTAACATCCTCAATATATGAGGTATACCTGAGCTGTGTGTGGTATCCATTTGGATTTTTCTGTTGCTTCTATTTGGTAAAGAGCATAAACTAAAGAGAGATTTGCTATCTCTTTGGAAATTTGTTCTTTAGAGAGGCCAAGAACAGGATTGTCTTCCACTGACTGCCAGTTAGATTCAAAATCATTTTTGATGGTGTGCCCAACACAGTATTCATTGAGGCTGGCTCAGGCAGAGAGACTGGGTTCCAGCAGTTTCATGGGAATCTAGACAAGATTCTCAAGTCGTTTTCCCTCTCTTCCAGAGTCCGACAAGGAGGAGAAGCCAGAAAATGTTGTCATCCCCAAGGAAGTCACATCAGCCCTGGGCTTACTGATGACTAACTACGGGAGCATGTCAGGGTCAGAGAGTGAGCCAGAGGGTGAGTAGTTGCAGCTTCATTGCATCAGGTTTTTTTTGCCCACAATATAATCTCTAGTATGAAACGCATTTATTAAATCCCTTTCATATTGTATTGGACATCCTTTATTTTGACTTTCAAGTTCCATTTTAATTTGGCATGAGAGATAAAGTTAAACATGGGAGAGAGAGAAAGCTGGAGGTCTGGGGGATGTGGGAACAGACTGGGAGGAGGAAAGTGAGATAGATTCAAGGAGCTGAGCCTGAGATTATATTTATATCTCCATATGCAGATATAAACACATTAGATGCCTAATGTGTGTATTAAATAAAGACCAGGCAGAAAAAGAGAAGAGAGTAGAGGAGATAAAAATGATAGCCAGGAACTAAAAAGAATGAAGGGAATGCTAACCAGCATAGCAAAGAGTCATTTATTTTCTCTACTTGCTTTACATCCCTCCTTGGAAAGGTACGCCGGACTGAAGAACCAGCCTGAAGGACCCATTAAAATGCACAGCACCTCTCATGGGTGGAGAGAAATTCTTCACGTTGGGTGCTGGCCTACGAAGGTTGGCAGGCTTGAGTGGTGGAAACCACTAAAGCAAACTTGGCTCTCCTTCATTCATTTTCAGCAAAGCATATGCCCTCAGAAATGGGAGTGATCTTTTATTTAGAAGTGAGTCATTCTAGAAAAGTCAGGGATGTGAAGCATAAATTCTTAGCCTTTGGGGATGAGATCATGAAGAGCAGCCTGAAATAATGTATGTGAAAGTCTTTCAAAAAGCGTTAAGTGCTACTTATATACAAGATGACTTCAGGGTATCCTAAAAGTTTTAGTGCAGTTTTTAACAAATTAACCCTATAACTACATTAAGACTTTTGGGACACCCTGCCTTTGTAGTGTTCCTGTCAGCATCATCTTGTTCTTTTCCTCTTCTCCTCCCTCTCCTTGACCTCCTCCTCTTGGTCCTCCTCAGCTTCTTCATCATGAGAATGTCCACCCCTTCTCCTATAATGCCACTCTGAGAAGTGGCATGGAGGATAGAGCACTGGGTCTGTGGTCAAATCCTACGGAGACACTAGCTGTGTGACCTTGGACAAGGCAATTAACCTGTTCACCTTGGTTTCCTTGGCTGTAAAATGGGGCTTGTTGTGAAGGTCAAATGAGTTAATGTTTGTAAAGCACTCAGGACCTTGCCTGGCACATAGTAAGTACTATATAAATGCTTATTTCGTTCCATCAGATGGACTATTGGCCTATTCCCACAGTTTTGTAGTCCATGTAGATGTAAGTTATGTTAGAATACTATGTGAATAACTAGGGTTACTTTTAGTACGTGTGCAGTTTTCTGCAACAGCGGAGGCCAGGTTCCAACCAGGCCATTGGGAGAGTTCGTGGGTTTTTTCTCTTATGGCAAGATGATTTAATTTAAAAAGTTGGGGGGGACGACACTATGATGAGGATGAGAGTTTAGAGTCTGAAAATACAGGTTTGTAGCATGAAAAGAGGGTCAGAATGAAGTTGGAGAGGTTGATGAAAACTTTGAGACACTCTGGAGAATGCTCTCTGGCAAAATTCCTCCCTTTAGGGAGCTGATAACATTCTTGGAGTTGACTGGGCTAGAGCCTCTTGCTGAGGTATTTTGGGACATGGAGATGATTGGGAGGGAGTCTTCCATTGTGAAAGAAGACATTTAGAGAAGCAGCCAAGTGGCTAGAGAGCTGGCCTTGAAATCAGGAAGACCCGGGTTCAAGTCCCACCCCGATACCTACTGGCTTTGTTACCTTGCCCAATTCACTTAATTTCTTAGGGTCTCAGTCAGCTGTCCAAGTTGCAGAGAAGGTGCCCATCTTCATTGGCAAAGGAAATTCTGTATATGGGTAAAAGCTTGGTCTGGTTAAAGAAAAGAAAAAGGAAAAAGTGACATTCAGTATATTATAAACATGCAAAATTGGGTTATTTTCAGCCAGTTGAGTTGAAATTTGACCATCCTGTTTTTAATCTAATAGAAGATCGCTTATCTTTGTTCCCTTCACAAAGAATAAAGACTTTGTTACTCTTGTATTCAATATACCTAATGTGAAAGTGAAATGATTCTTTAAACATAATACCTTGGGTTTCTTTTTTATCAGCTCTGTTTGTGACAGATGATAGAAAAGAAAGCTGTCCCCACATTTACAGAACCCCATAAAAACAGGTGCTGTTACTAATAGGGTGCTTTCTTTTGTCTTGTACATGGTGTTTAGTATCTTTGAATTCAAAGTTGCCATTTTGAGGACATCACTATTAAAAAACATAAACAAAAGAATTTTGAGTAAGGTAGGAGGGAACCTCATGGAATTAGAATTAAAATTGTAGTGGAAGAGTGAAGGGCATATAGGAAGACGGTCCTAAATTAGGAGATGGTGCAGAAATCAAGAAAGGCATGGAGGTACCAGAAGTACTAATGGCCTTATGCACTTTAATACTCTGCAGCAGTAAGCTTTGATCTATCTTCTGTGCATCTGGTTTAGGATAATGGGACCAGTGTTTGAAATGGGAGGGAGTGATAGGAAGCTCTGAGGGACCCAGTTCTTTGATGCCTGAAATTCTTCCTCCCCAACCCTCTATTTTTAATTGTCACAAACTGCTTTGGAACTCACCTTCTATCCTTCTGTATATGTTTCTTATCTTTTCCTTCCTGGTATAGCAAAGCACAAAATAACAGCACCAGGGAGGTCGTTGGGCCAAAATTGTTATGCTTGTACCAGAAAATCCACGTCATATACTAAAAATAACACCAGGTAGCCACATTTATTAAGCACAGCAGGATCTATATTCAGAAGAAAATTGGTTCTCAGCTGTTGCCCAGGTATGCTACTGGCTAGGTCCACTGCAAAGATGGAAGGGAAGGGGAGGATCACCTTCTCTTTGGGCCACCAGCATCAATGCTAGCTCCCTTCCATACTGAAAAGGACAACTGAATCTCTGTGGGGCTGTCTGTGCCTTCCACATTTGCTCTATGTATATTTTCTGCACAGTTTTATGGAAGAGAGCCTGGAAATATCACAGAAATTAGATTGATCGAATCAATCAATCAATAAACATTTATTAAGCACCTGCTATGTGCCGGGCATTGTGCCAAGGGATTGGGATATATAAAGAGGCAAAAGACAGTTCCTGCCCTCAAAGCGCTTACAGTCTAGTGGAGGAGATGCTAAGCAAATACATATATACAAAGTAAGCCATATATGGGATAAATAGGAAATAGGGGTTGAGGAGAGTGGGGGAGCAGGCTTCATGTGGAAGGTGGGGTTTTAGTTAGGATTTTAAGGAAGCCAGGGAGGTCAGTAGTCAGAGTGCAGGAGGGAGAGGGTTCCAGGCGGGGGGATAGCCAGAGAGAATGCTGAGGGCAGAGAGATAGCCAGCATTACTAGATCGAAGAGTACTTGTTCAGTAGCAAAGTGTAAAAAGACTGGAAAGCTAAGAAAGGGCTAGAAGTGTGAAGGCCTTTGAACACCAGGTAGCATTTTGTGTTTGCTCCTGGAGACAACAAGGAGCCACTGGAGTTTATTGAGTGCAGGTGACATGATCACACCTGAGCTCTAGGAAAACCTCTTTGATGGCTGAATGAAAGTGGAATTGACAGGCTTTGGCAATAGCTTGGACATTGGGGAGGGGTGGTGGTGAGAAATAGTGAGGAATCTAGAATGATTTCTGGGTTGTGAGCCGGAGGGCCTGGGGGGACGGTGTTGCCCTCTACAGTAATGGAGGGGAGCGGTTTAGGGGCAAAGATAAGGACTTCTGTTTTGGACGTGAAATGTCGACCGGACATCCAGTTTGAGATGTCTAAAGGGAGACTGTAGAGGCCAGACTGGAGGTCAGTAGAGAGATTGGGGCAGGAAAGGGAGATTTGAGGATCATCAGCGTAAAGATGGTAATTAAATCCATGAGAGCTAATGAGATCACCAAGTGAAGTGGTATAGAGAGAGAAAAGGAGAGACCCAACCTTGAGGGACACCTACAGTTAGAATCTCTGATCTGGAAGAGGACACATACAGCGAAGGAGGTGGAGGAGGAAAATTGGGACGGTGGTGTCCTGAAACAGCAATGTCAGATGCCACAGAGAGATCAGCGAGAATGGAGACTGAGAAAAGGCCGTTGCATGTGGCAATGAAGATCATCAGTAACTTTGGAGAGAGCAGTTTTGGTGGAATGATAAGGTCAGAAGCCAGAAGTTAAGAAGTGAGCGAGAGGAGAAAGAGAGGAGGCACCTAGTGTAGATGGTTTTTTCAAGGAGTTTAGCTACAAGGGGCAGAAAAAAAGTAGGATGATAGTAGAGATGGAAAAACGAAGTAAAGATAGGGGAGATAGGGACGTGTTTATAGGAATAGAGAACAAGCAAACAGGGAAAGACAATATAAGTGAAAGAGTGGAGGTGGCAGAGGGAGCACACAGTCTGTTGGAGGAAATGGGGTGGAACGGGATCACTGGAACAAATAGAGGAGTTAGGAGCCTTGGTAAGGAGGAAGGCCACTGCGTCATGTGAGAGAGTTAGAAGGCATCTCTGAGTGAAAGGAGAAGAGGAAGAGGGGAGAAGAGGGAGTTTACAGCAAATGGCCTCAACTTCTTCATTAAAATAGGAGGCAAGGTTCTCAACTGAGAGGTTGGTGGAGGGGAAGCCATGGGGATTGGAGGTCAGATGGATGAAAAGATTTGGCAGAGCTGCTGTGGAGACTGGGGCAGTGAGTCGGTAAGGGTGAGGTGGGGGTAGTGTAGCATTGCTTAGCGGCAGTGAGGGCCCACTTGAGATTATGTGATATAAATTTGTAGTGGACCCAGTCAGAACAGTCACATGATTATCTCCACTTTTCATTCAGCAGCTCCTCTGTAGGAGTGAAGGTAACAAATAGTGGGAGTGACTGAATTTATGCAATAACGAACTGTTATGTATAAGGGGTTGATCTTGCAATCAAACCTTAAGCAGTGAAGAGGTAGGAAAAAATCTTGAGGAAAGGATAAGTAGAAAAATGACGTTTAAAGACCTCATGGTCTTCCTCTCCACCCTGCCATCATCTTCCTGTAATAATCTGATTGCATGATTTCTCTACCTGCCCAACACTGATGAGTTCTCACACTCTGCTTCAACCACATCTTGGTGTGGCCATGAAACTCTTCTCACATCTGTCTTCTCTTCCTAGTCTCTCATTTACACTACCATAGGTTCCCAAAATAGGTGATACTGCCCCCTGGGGGGGGCAGTGGTAGTTTCGGGTGCAATTGGGGGGCATTGAATAAAATTAAGGGGGCAGTGGAAGCCAAAGGAAAGAAGATAAAATTTTGAAAAACCATTCGTACGTGTTTTGTCTGTTGTGCAACAGAGTTACAGTCATAGTGATTACGTTATTTTCCAAATGCACAAAATGCAAGTTATAGCCAATCAGTGGTCAAGTCTGCGGACAGATCTTACTAACAAGCAAGTGTTGGCAAATGAGCTTGTCGCACATTGTAGGGAAGTCCAGCATGCGTCAGCACGAATATGTGCGTGTAATGACTTGTTTACAATATGATACTATACAGTTACATGATGCATATTGCATCATCAAAAATTCAATGTAGATGGGGCAGCTAGGTGGCGCAGTGGCTAGAGCTCTGGTCTTGGAGTCAAGAGGATCTGAGTTCAAATCCAGCCTCAGACACATAACACTTACTAGTTGTGTGACCCTGGGCAAGTCACTTAACCCTGATTGCCTCACCCCCCCAAAAAAATTTCAATGCAGGAAAAACCCCCCACAAATTTTCAGTGAATTATTAAATTTAAGATGTCATTTTAAAAAAAAATATTTTAATGTAAATTTAAAAAAAACAACAAAAAAAAAACACTGTTAAAGGGTTAAAGAAAGTAGATTTCCAGGGGGCCACTGAGTAATTTTTTTTTTCTTAAAGAGGTGGCAGGGCAAATAAGTTTGGGAACCTCTGCACTAGACTTCTTTTTTTTTTTTTTAAACCACTGGTCCCCTGACCAGACCTTGTCCCAAGCTCTCTTTTCCCACTGAGTCATCATTTGCTTCCACAACCAGTCTTGACCCTGTGGTTTGCCACTTTGATATTTCACTAGTCAGTACCCTAGAATTCCTTGCCTTTTTACAAGCTACTGTCGAATGCCTCCAAGTCCTTATCTCTGGGTAACCCCAACCATTGAATTTTTCTGCTTTTGTGCTAGGGTGACTGAACCTTGCTGGAGAAGTTCACACAATCAAAACCATTTTCATCCTCCGTAATTTCTTGATTCATAACTTCAGCTGAGTCCTCCATGATGCTTATATGTTACTAATAGCTAACTTTTATTTTGTGCCTACTGTATGCCAGGCATTGTGCTGAACACTTTACGGTTCTTATCTCATTTGTTACCCCTCTTATCTTACTACTCCTTCATTTCATCACTAAACTTCTTAGAAAAGGTTGTCTGCATCTTATAAATGGCTACTTTCTTTCACTACTAATGATTTCCATAAATCTGATTTCTGTCTTCCAAGACTGTTTTCTCCAAGGTCATTCTAACTACCAAGTGCAGGGGCCTTTTTCCAGCTCGTATCCTCCTGCGACCTCTCTGTAGTTTGTGACTTGACCACCTTCTTCTAATGGATGTCCCCTGCTTCTTGGCTTGCTGGCTTCCTTCCTAACGTCTCATTTGGTCCACACAGCAACTTTGAAAGGGTTTTGCCTGTTTTGAGGCAGAATTGTCTCTGTTTCACAAATAAGGAAACTGCGGATCAGATAGATTAGATTTCTTTCCCCTGGTCACAGGAGAATAAGGAGCAGAAGTGGGGCTTGAGTCCACGTCTGCAGATTCGAAGTGCGTATTGTTGCTGTCTCCCCACAAAAGAGGAAGAAATGGAATTCTTCAGCATGAACCTCAGGAATTGTAGTGTATGTTGGTTAGTGTAGTGTGTCTCCCTGTCAAGGAAAAAAAATAATCAGAGCAGTAAATGAAGGGAAGAATCCCTGATGTGACTTCTAGTTAAAATAGCAAACAATCATTGCTATTTATTGTGCATAAAACAATGGGATTCAAAGACAAAAATGGAACCTTCCCTGCCCTCAAGACGCATACATTCTACTGAGGGAGTAAACATGTGCTCAGATGAGTATATCCCCAGTAAATCAGTGTAGGGGAGGAGAGGAGGTACCACTAATAACTGGGAGTTATTATCAGGATCAGAGGACAGTAGAGGCAGAGCCAGAAGGGACCTTGGAGGCCGTCATGCCCAACCCCCTCATTTAGGAGACTTGTCCAGGGTCACATCACTGGCATATTTCTGTTGGGATTCAAACCCAGGTTTTCCTGATTCCACGTACACTCCTTGTCCACTTCTGCCGCGACTCAAGGAAAGGCCTCATGTAGGAAGTAGTAGCTGAGTTGAGTCTTCGAGGGACATAGGGATTCTAAGAGGCGGAAGAAGGGAGAGCTGTTATCATTGGGCTGATAGGTTGTATAACAGATGGAATGATAGACTAGGAATTGGGAATTCCTGAGTTCACATCTGGCCTCAGACACTTAAAAGCTGTGTGGCCCTGGGCAAGTCACTTAACTCTGTCTGCCTCAGTTTCCTTAACTATAAAATGGGCATAATAATGGCACCTACCCTGTAGGGTTGTTTCGGGGATTAAATGAGATAATAATTATAAAGTGCTTAACACAGTGCCTGGCACATAGTAGGTGCTTGATAAATGCTTCTTTCCTTCCTTTGTTTTCTTCCATCTATTCATCCATCACAGACCTTAATTAGAGAACAGTTTAAGAGCCTTGTAAAATTCATTCACAGCAGTTGATTTTTTGAAATTACTAAGAAATTCTCATAACATTGAGCCTAGAACCTAGTCTTTTTTTTTTGAGTTTTTGCAGTTTTGTTTTGCTCTGTTTGTTTTAGAAACTCCTATCAAGACAGAAGCAGAATCCCCAACAGAAAAACAGGTCATCCTCAACGTTGTCTCTCAGAATCAAAGTCAGGATATCGAGAAACAGGAAAGAAACTCTCCTGTGGCTAAAACTAAGAGCTTACGGAAAAATTGGATGAGAAAAAATTGTAGGTACAGGAGAAATCTCTACAGAAAGAAGCCAGTATCTGAACCACAGAAAAGACGTCCACAGCTCCTAGAGATGGTAAGTGATTTCTCTACATGGTCTGCCATAAGGATGACAGGCTTGACTTTTTTTTTTTTTACAGTTGATAAATAAATCACAGTTAAACTAAGCCTGACAGCAACATGAGAGTATAGACATGACAAGGTGGGAGGGAAATATAAATTGAGATTGATTTTTAATATTTGAGATTTCACTGAGGCATTGATACGGTTAAAAAGAAGACACATATTCTTAAACAGATGTAAGATAGAAGAGTGATCATTACCACATTCTGGCAACCACCATCACCACAAAGCCACAGCTATGCTACAGAAAGAAAATCACTAAAACTCCCCTTGGCCATTATAATTTGTCTTCTTTGAAGGCCATTTTCAGATGCATCCCTGTCCCCTCTACCAGCCCTGGGTCCTTTCTGCCCTTCTTCTGTCTGGGTGCCCTGTTCTGGCCACGTCTGTTGTTGGGGAACAGTCTCTAGCTTGGCATCAAAGTCTTCATAAAATTACATTCTTCAGAAATTGGAGAAACGCAGTGTCTCCTTTGATTCAACAACTGTCTGCCTGTTGATTAAAAAGAACAAAGTCTCCCCAGCTTGAGGAGGGCGGGAGGCATTTCCAGATCTCTGCCATAAAACTGAAAAGCTGTCATTTGGGGCAGCTAGTGATACCGTGGGTGGAGCATTGGGCCAGGAGTCAGGAAGACCCGAGTTCAAATTTGACCTCAGATACTTAATAGCTGCATGACATTGGGCAAGCCACTTAACCACTATCTGCCTCCATTTCCTCTTCTATGAAATGGGGATAATAATAAATAATAAAGCACCTACCTCCCAGGGTTGTTTTGAGGATCAGATGTGATAATATTTGTAAAAGGACTTAGCACAGATTCTGGCCCGTAGTAGTTGCTGTATAAATGCTTTTCTTCCTTAGCTTTCTTCATTTGATGGTTTATGAAAAATCTTGAGTTTCCTTTGGCAATTAATCTCTTTTACCAATGCTAAAATGTCCCTGACCACCACATGCAGTTAATATGTATTTAGATGTAATTTGGTTATATGAAAGTAGAACAAAATGCCCTGTATTTCTGGCTGCTTTATAATTTTAAACACTGCAGCATAAAACTCCGGGGTGAATAAGTTAAATCCCTGTTTTTTGCCACTAAAAGATCATTACCTTGTCTCCTTGCTTTTATTTAGCATCAGAAATAAGATTTGATAGAGCCATTGCCCCTCCTCAAAATGGCATTTCATCTGCCTGCTGGAGGCACTTAGTGCTTCTTGAACCCCAGGGATTCTCTACCTCTCCAGTGACAATCCCAGGTTAATAGCAGTGATAGTGCCAGTTTTCTAAAAGTGGGTTTCTGTCTAGTTTTTCAGAGGTCTACAAAGGTAAACACCCATCTTCATTCTATTTCTGCATTTGGATTTTTAATTGCCCTCTTCAGAGAGGACTGATTTCTTGATTTTTCTTCTCCCTCTCCCTCTCATTTTCTCATTTTTCTAGCCCCTTCTTCCAAGTTTGCAGACTCAAGGCAGTGCTAAGAGCTCCCCGAACCTGGGGGAGCCCTCACAGAGGGCTGGAGTAATTTGATAGCAGAGCGAGGGGTTCTACTTCCTGCCTAGTCAGAGTTTTTTTTTTTTTAAACATTGATGGATTCAGAGGGATGAGTTCTGTGCCATGGCGAGTGAGTCTCAAGTGAACTCAGTCTCTATTGACTAATTTTATGTTTCTATACTATCCTCCCTGAGAACCTCATACTGATAGGACCCATTCACAGATCACTCACAGATTCTTTCTGTTGGAGTGGAGCCATAGGGTACAAAGTGAGGGGTCTCCATAAAACTACAGTTCTCATCTCCTCAAATTAGGTATTCATGCCAAATTCTAGGAGGTGGCTATCTGGTCCTCTTAAGTTCTATGCTGTGGCTAAAAGTGACAGATCACTATGTCCTTCCCTTGGGACAGATATCCCAAAGGCCATTCAGATGGCTTGACATCCATGATGTGCTGCTTCCCTTTCTGTTAAAAAAAACTCATTTAATAGTAATACTCCAAAATAACATCTATTTCAGGTTTAAATGAATAAATTAATCTGTAATATGCTTAGGTTTGTTTTCCAAGAACCTACTTGTAGTTCATATATTCGTAGCCCTCTATATATACGTGACTTATTCTCTTCTATAGGGATTTGGGGATACTGCCTGTAGCGGACCATCTTTCATTTATCTTTAATTCACTGGCTTATCTTTTTTTTCTTTTCAGCTTTTAGCCCAGGACATAAGACATGAAAGAAATGTGATTTTGCAGTGTGTTAGATACATCATCCAAAATGAATTTTTTGGACTCAACTCCAAGGCAGAGCTACCATTAGGACAAACTGAGAATGGCCGGGTGTCTGAAGTTTCAGAATCGTGAACGCATCTGTCCGGATGTCTGGTGGCATCTTGGAGGCCAGCCCTGCAAGGACGTCCTGACAGAAGGGAGAACTTTTACTCTAGCTGATAAATCTTATGTAAGATGTGATCTCACACTCTCAGAGCATTTCATTGGAGATGCCCTTAGACTCTTGGGTCTGTGCTTGCACTGTTGGCATTGTGCACAAGGTTTGCTGGCAGAATTGCTTTTTCTGTTTTTACTTTTGATGCCCAGGGAAGTTCAGAGGCATCCCACAGGTGAGATCGTGGGACTGGAGTTTAAAATGTATAATTCAGTTAAGCAGAGACTAAGAGGCAGGGGATGGGGAGGAAGGAAAACTGTAACTTTTATAACTTATTTGCACAATGAAGGAACAAAGTGATTTGGCTTTTGATGAGGGAGAAGGAAAAGAAATAATGCAATTAAATGAGGACTGTTAAAAGGGTCTTCAAATTTACCTCTTTTAGTCCCAAGGACATATGTTCAAATCTAGCTGTGCGCAACCAGATGTTGCACTTTGGAAACGCTTGTGTAGACATGCTCTCAATTTATACTGTAGATTCAACTCAAGTGTCCTTTGCTATAGTTCAAATTTGGACCATTGTTTTTTTCTAGTGAAAAAGCATGTAAAATCTAATATTCAATGAGGTTCAACTCATTTAATAGCAAAAGCAGTGTTGGTGAAGTTATGTACGGCTAGGTCTTAAGTTTCAGTTAGATCATCATAAAGATAATAATTTTATCCTTATTTTTAACAAATAAGTCTTTTCTGAATAAAGCCATTGAGGTCTCTTGCCTCTTAAAAATTACAGGAATTTTTGTTTGTGTGTCCTTTTCATTTTGTATCACATTTACTCATTATATATGGCTTTGTACTTTAGTAAGATTAGAAAGGGCTGGGTTTCAGAAAATCAATCTGTTGCACTTCTCCTGGTTTTTTTTCAGTCCTCATCTTTCTTGGCCTTACCTACAGTCTTGGATACTATCAATCATCCACTTTTCCTTGATGCTCTTGTTTTTCTAGGTTTTGGCGACACTGTTCTCTCTGTCTTACCACTCCTTGTCTGTATCTTCATCTAGGTCATCTCTAACCATGAGTGGCACCCAAGGCTCTGGCCTGGGATTGCTTCTCTTCTCCTTCTATAGTATTTCACTTGTTGATCTCATTAGGTCCCGTAGAGGTAGCTATCATCTCCATGCCAATGATTCTTTGATCTGTTTATCTAGACTTACCCTTCATCCTGACCTCTAATCTTGCTTCGCCAGGGGTCTATTGGACATCTCTTATGTCCGTATGTTCATTATGTCCTCTTAGAGGACGAGATTTCCTCTTGTCATTTTAAACTCAACTGTCCAAAACAGAACTCAGTACCTTTCTTCCCAAGCCCTCCACTCTTCCTAACTTCTGTTTTACCGTTGAGGCTATCACCATCCTCTCTGTCATCCAGGCTTACAACCTAGGTGTCATCCTTGACTCCTTACTCTCCTTTATCTTCCATTACCAATCTGTTGCCAGGCCCTGTCGATTCTGCCTTCACAACATCTCTCAATTTTACCTTAACGGCATCTCTTGTATAAGTGCCCTTTCTCCTCTGACACTTCCCCAATCTGGTATGTGCCCTCATCATCTCATACTTGGACTGTTGCCATAGGTCTTCTGCCCCAATTCTATCCTCCACTCAGTTTTCAGTGTAATCTTAAAGCACAGATCTTCTGACCTCGCTGTCCACCAGTGAACTCCAGTCGTTCCCTGTCATTTCCAGGATCAACTATACAATCCTCTCTTTGGCTCTGAAAGCCCTTCAGAGTGCTTTGACCTGGCCCCTTCCTACCTTCCATTCTTCTTATATTTCATGCTCTTCCCTACACTCTGGAGTCAAGCACCAGTGGCCTTCTCGTGGTTCCTTGAGCACAACACCATCTTCTCTTCCTGTGTCTTTGCGCTGGCTGTCTCTTAAGCTTGAAATGTTCTCTTCCCCCATCTTGGAATCCTTGGACTTTTTTAAGACTCGGCTCAAAAACCAACTTCTACGTGAAGCTTTTCCCCATAGGTTGTTTTGTATCTGCTCTATATGTGTTTTCTATGTGTGCTTATACATTTTGTCTCTTCCACTCGAATGTAAGCTCCTTGAGGTCAGGGGCTTTTATTTTGCCTTTCTATCCCAAGCAACTCTCACGATGTCCAGCACATCACATCTTAATAAATGCTTGTTGATTGATTCATTCACACTCTAAAGGATTCCCCAGCCTTGACTCCAGTAGCTTTGCATTAGAGGTTTTCTCAAAGGTGAAATTTACTGCATTGACTAACACCGCAGGAAAATTTCAGCCTAAGATTGAAATTAGATGCAAGCAAATACTGATCAACACTTGAAGGTATTCAGGTGGAATATATTCACATTTATCTCATTCTGTAGGTAAGTGACCTGAAACACACCCTATTGCCACCATAGTGTTAATTTAATTTTGTGTTATTTAAGATGCACATAGATCCCTGTTCTTACCTTCTCATTCACTGTGATTGCTTTATGAACAGTATGCTCTCGAACCATTAATAATAATAATATTAACTAACATTTATACAGTGCTTATTATGTACCGGACACTGTGCTAAGCACTTTACGCTTACCATCTCATTTGATCCTCATACCAAACCATTATGTTTTTGGGATTTAAGTGTTGACCATATTTTGCATCAGCTAATTGAAAGAATCTTGGCTCTCAGATCTTCTTAGTTAATGGTGGATAGCATTGAGGTGAGATGTTTGGATCGCTGCTTTGGTGAACCTTCTTCAAAACAGTGATAATGATGTTGAGAGTCGAGAGATAAGCAGAGCCTATCCCTGTGGCATTGCTAAAGGGTGACAGGCATACATAATGAATAAGCAAGCTTTACTTTCTTTTTTTTTTTAAGCACCTACTGTGTGTTAGGTCCTGGGGATGCAAGGACTAAAGTGAAACATGCCCTACAAAGGAGCTTCTGTTCTCTAGAGGGAGACAACATACGTACGCAGAAGTATGTACAGTATAATTACAAAGCAATTTAGGGGGAAAGCAGTAGCAGCTTGAGGGGGTTTTAAAAAGGCTCCATTTAGCATAATGGTGTTTAAGCTGAACTTTGAAGAGTTGGAGGTGAAGAGGGCATGCATTGCTGTTGTGGGGGATAGAAAACAGGCAGAGTGTTGCATCCATCTGTTCTGACATCTTTCCTTCTGTCCTGTTGCTTCCCTCGCTCTCCTTACCTATTACAACACCCTTCAGGCCAGCCCTCCAGATGCTATGCCTGAAATGGTTACTGGACCCAGTTTTGGAACTCTGCTGGGTTCAGATGTTCTGAGGGGTGAGTGAGTCTAAGCTCACCTAACCCACTGGCCAAGACCAGACCACACTTCCTAGCTCTAGATTATAAGCCCCTTGAGGACAAGAACTATCCTTTATCTCTTTTTCTATCCCCAGCATTTAGCACAGTGCTTGGAACACAGTAGAAACTTAATAAATGCTTATCAATGGACGTCCATCGACTTCCTCTCACCGTCTGCCTTACCACCAGCCCTCTTTTTCATCTCTTCACTTTCTATGTGATTTGATTTTCTTAAAGTACAGTGTCAGATCTATTCCAACTTTAAATCTGTGCTCTGGCATCTTTTCTAAAATATGACATCCATAATTAAATCCTGTATCCTAGATGTGATCTGACCAGGACAGTTCATTTAATATGTTCAATATTACTCTCAATTACAAGTATGGTTGGAGGAAATTTGCTAAGAAAAAAAAAGATCTTTTTGTTCTTTAAGATTGAGAGAGGGAAATGCAAATAATGTGAATAAATACAGTGTTTAAACATGCTGCATTTTCTATTGTTGTGGTGCTGGGCCTCTCTGAAAGAGGCTTACCAGTCTGGAATTTCAGGATCAAGAATGAAATCCTATTGTGTTCTTTATTGTGCCCACCATATGCTGCACCCCAGAGTGCACTGCATCCTATAAATACATTTTGTGTGGATGTCAGAGACACTTTTTGGGTCTTCTCAGAAAGGCATCAAGTAAACATCTCTTGTTGAGCCTCTACATTTTGCTTCGTCTCAGCCTTTTTGTGCATGGAAGAAAACAAGTATCTTTTCTTGAGTTCCTTTGGTGGGTTCTATAGGGATTTCTACAACCTATCTCCTGACATCCCAACATGAGTATCCCTCATCTCCAGCACTTGGAATGTTTGATATCAGCATTTCTTCTACTCTGGAGTCAGACCTTCAGTTTAGTGTCTCATCTTTGATTTTCTTATATTCCAATTCTTTTTTCCTAGTCCTGACCTCTAGGGTTTGTTTTCCACTAAAAGGATTTAAGGGCATCCATGTGGCATAGTGGATAGAGTGCCAGGCCTGGAGTCAGAAAGACTCATCTTCCAGTGTTCAAATCTGGCCTCAGACACTTCCCAGCTGTGTGACCCTGGGCTAGTCACTTAACCCTCTTTGCCTCAGTTTCCTCATTTGTAAAATGAGCTGGAGAAGGAAATAGCAAACCAGTCTAGTGTCTCTGCCAAGAAGACCCCAAATGGGGTCACAAAGAGTTAGACAGAACTCAACAATAACAACAAAGAGGATTTAAAATTCTTTCTTGAAAGAAGTCCTGAACTTTCAGCTGTAGTGGTTAAGGGCTTTGTCATGCCAGCTCCATTTAGTGTTCCATTTTTAGCGTTGGGGGGCTTTGCTGTGTCTGGTTTCATGTTGTCTTATGCAATGGTTTTATTCTACCAGAATTTTTAACCAATTAGCTGGTAACTGTTTGACAGAGTCCAAGTGCTTCAAATGTGGCCTCAGACATGTGTTAGCTGTGTGACCCTGAGCAAGTCATATAACCTATTTGCCTCAGTTTCTACATCTGTAAAATGAGGGTGATCATAATAGCACCTACCTCCCAGGACTGTGAGGAGCAAATGAGATAATAATTGTAAAATGCTTAGCACATAGTAGGTATTATGTAAATGTTAGCTTTCATTTTTATTATTAGCTGTTAGGTTTGCAAAGTGCTTTAACAGTAATGATAATAGCTAACATTTACGTAGCACTTTGAGGTTTGAAACACACTTTAATAAGAATAATAATAGCGAGCATTCATATGGCATTGTGAGGTTTACAGAGCACTTTACAAATATCTTATTTCATCTTTCCAACAACCTTGACAGGTAGGTGCTATTATTACCCCATTTTACAGGTGAGGAAACTGAGGCAGACAAAGTGATTTTGTCAGCATTGTACAGCTAGTGAGTGTCTGAGGCTGGATTTGAATGCAAGCCTTTCTGACTCCAGGTCCAGTGTTCCTCTGGACCACCATCTAAATGCCTCTGAAATGAAAGCAGTGACTATAAATAATCTTTTCTAGGAGTTTGGCTCTGAATAGAAGAGGTACTGAATGATAGAGAAACAGCAAGTAGAAAGAACGTTGTACTTGATTTGAAGCCTGAGGACAGGTTCAAATCCACACTGCTACTTACACCTCAACTATCCTTGGACAAATTGCTTAATATATCTGGGCTGTAGTTCCTCATCTATAAAATAAGGGGACTGAACTAGAATGAATCCAGGGTGCCTTCCCACACTAAATCTATGATCCTGTAATCTTATAAAAAGCAGTGACTCAGATAAAGACATAGATGGTGTGCTCATCAAATTTGTAGATCACACAGAGCTGTGAAGGATAACTAATACACCAGATGACAGAGTTAGTCCAGAGAATTGGGGTGAATTTAACAAATAAGATGGAATTGAGTAGGGATAAATGTAACATTATATAAATATTTATATAATCAACTTTACAAATACAAAATGGGG